TCATTTTTCCTGAACACATAGGACAGGGCAAGTTCAGTTTTAGATACAATATGGCGAGAATTTGAAACTTTGGGGGAAAATCTACCACTCAGTTTATGTGGATGCTTATGGGGTTATTATTGTTTACTGAAGCTGTGAACTTTGTCTTGCAGTGGCAAATTAGAGACTTTCTTGTTTTGTGCTTCCAGCTGGAGACCTTATTAAGATGGACTAGGTTATTTTTTTTAACATCTCTCCAGTTTGATGATTCTCTGACTTAATTCTGTCAGTATTTTTGTCTAGGAGTTAAATTATAATATTATTAATTATAAAATTATACTATGAACAATACAAAGTTATGATAAGTCATGAAAGGTTTTCCTTTTATCTTTTCTTCCCCAGTCACCTTTTAAAATGTGCACTTACCCTCTAGTTTTCTCACTTGTAAAAGAAGGTGTTAAGTCTTTCCAAGGCCTACCTGAGATAGTATAATTTTGAAAATCTAAAATTTGGTTTCAAATTCAGCAAGGATAACTTGCTAATGGAGCAAGTGAAGTTTTTATTTTGAAGTTAGAGAAACTTTTGGACTTGATTTCAGTGGTGAGTCTGGTTTTGACATATACTATTTTATGAGTTCAAAATATATTTTTGGAACCCTAGATTTTTAAGAACCATAATTTCTTCTCAGTTGAATATTTTAGTGATATTTTAAGTGATGTTTGTAATTTGAACTCATGTTCATCTTTTTCAACCCATTAGCATTTGTTCTCATCTCTGATCACTTGTCTCCAAAATAACTGTGACATATTCCTTTAAGTCCTTCCATCATGCTTTCAAAAGTAATTCTTCCTTCTCAGCAGGACCTTCTTATGAAAGTATCTCTCAGTTCAGGTTTTTCTTCCTGACTTTCCGGGATTTATATTTCCACAACAATTGAGTTGCTAACATTCTGATAAAAGATGTAAGGAGGTAAGAGCTCAGAAGTATATTTGCCATAATTTATAGATTATTTAAAAGGCTTTAGAGACTTTGACTTCTTTATCTCAATCTTTTATTTTTCTAAAGAGGTTGTTTTAATAATGGATGGTGAGATAACTGAATAGAAGCTGGTCTTGATATAGTATAGATTACATTTAAGAGTTTATTTCCAATTTCTGATTTTCATTTTTTGGTTTTTCAAAAAGGTTATTGTTCTATAGCATTATATTAGGAATAGAAATGGTAGATTTTAACTTGTTGACATTGGTTATTATGTGAAAAGCATAACTAGGAGGTGATTTGTTTGGTCTGCTCAAATTATTTGTGGGATTGTCCTTGTGCTTATACCTACTTTGAAGTACAGTTAGCAATGTTCAAATCATCTTATTTAAAAGCAACTCATATTTGACTTTTGAAAGAATTTGCTGTGAATATTTAAGCCTGGTTCATGATTAAACTATAGCCAAATGGTATCAATATCAAGAAAAAAAGTATTACTGGGTGGTATAGTTTTCTTTTAATATGCAAAACCAGTTAAATAAATTAAACTCTGGGTAGAGGAAAACTACCTAGACATTGTAGCCAGCCACATCTGCATCTTTCTACTGACCATGGTAAAGGACATTCTGAGCATTACCACTTAAAACTAACTTTTCTCTTTAAGGGTTCCTGAAATTGTGCCAGCTGACTCCAGGTCCACCCTGACCCCACAGCATAAACCATGCTGTAATGTCACAGCTACCATAGAACTCCAGGGTAGTGTTGAGCTGGCCCATGTGAGCTCAGGTAAGTCCTGGCTTCTTTTTTACCATTTGGCATTCTTTTCAAAGTTAGTTACCATTACGATTTTATGTCAAAGGAAAATAAGGCAAAACTTTGAAAACTGTGCCATATATGGGGGAAAAAATAAGTCTGTTTTCTAAACATCTACGAGCCAGCTCCATATTCTAACCAACGGAGTTCCATAGTAGCTGTGAAGTCGCCATTGAGTTATTGGCGTGTGGCTTCAGAATATGTTAAACTCTACTCTTGGCCCATCTTACAAAACAATAAGAATTTTTTTTTTGAAACTTTGTAGATAGTAGCATTCATTCACTCTTAGGTTTTCATGTTTTTAAAGTCTATTAACACTTTATCTGTTATGTATCACTAGTTAATTGTGCATTTCATTCAGTCAGTTTTGAATATATGATACTGCAGGTTAGTTTTATAATTTTAATCTTCTCAGTATGCCTTCAATTGTCCTTTTATTTGCCTTTGTAACATGAAGGAGAAAGGGACAGAATATGTAATATATGTTTGTTAAGTTTTCAAAAAAAGTATTAAGAGAAAGATGCTTCAGTTACTCTTGGAGGTGTTGTGAGGTGTCAGTAACTAGAAAGCATGTATGTGTTATCTCTTTTTATCTTCTTTTGGTACCTTTGAGTTTTATTCCTGGCCTTTCTTCTATAAAGTGAGATGTTAGCACTTAACATTTATTTGTTGTCTTTTCCTGCCTACCAGTTCTTCTACCTTTTTCTTTTATCTCCTGCTATTAAAAGGTGCTCAAAATGTACTGTTAAGTGAGGAACCCAGAGGCATTTTGTAAGGTTTTTTTTTTGCATATACTGTGATGGCCTTTTCCCCCTCCCTAAGTAGAAAATATGTGGTGGCTAAAACTTTAAATTATATGAGTATGGGCCAAATCTTATTAAATACCATGTCTGCAGTGAAAACCCATCTATGAAGAAACTGTCTTAACTTTATCAGTTCTCTTTGAGCAGGGTGTAATAAAGACATACCAAAAATTTGGACGGTTTAGTGACATTCTCATGAAATTTGATTTGTAATAAATTTACTAATCTTTATAGCTGAAAATTTACCAGTTACTGAAACTATGAACTCTTAATTATGATTAGTGAAAAAAATGGAATTATATATTTCCCACATATTAGACAATAGAATAATTTTCTTTTAAATATTCTTTTGTGTCTCTACTTAAGTATGTGTTTTTCATGCTCTGGGGAGTTTGGAGAATTTTGTGCTGTCCGAAACTGAGAACAGGCTCTCTATTCTGTTCATCATCATCTCCTGTCCTTCATTATATCCTCTGTGCTGGAGAATGGGCAATATATTGTATGTGCGTTTTAATTCAGAGTGTGGGAGGGAGTAATTAAGTGTTTTTGATATTTTGTATTAGGTCAAATAGAAATTCTGGTTGTGTGTATTTGTGTGTATCAGCTTTATCGAGATATAATTCATATACCATGCAAATCAGAGTTTTAAGTTCTGGTTGTATTTTTAAAAGGCACTTAATAGGAAGGCAGAATGGATGATATTGTAACTCGTAGTTCCAAAGCATAGTTTGCTAACTTTTTTGTGCTATTTGGGCAGGTAGTCATTTTTCTGGGGAAATGATCTAGATTTGCAGAAAGGATCTATATGACTTGAGAGTTTGAAAACTTTTGAAGCTGGCCTTTTATGGCTTACAAATGTGATTTTAAAGAATTGTTTTAAATATAGAAGTTTTTTTTTTTTTTTTTTTAAATGACAGAGTCTCACGCTGTTGCCCTGGCTAAAGTGAGTGCTGTAGCGTCAGCCTAGCTCACAGCAACCTCAAACTCCTGGGCTCAAGCCATTCTTCTGCCTCAGCCTCCCGAGCAGCTGGGATTACAGGCATGTGCCACCATACCTGGCTAATTTTTTCTATGTATTTTTAGTTGGCCAATTGATTTCTTTCTATTTTTTGTAGAGACGGAGGTCTCACTTTTGCTCAGGCTGGTTTTGAACTCCTGACCTCAAGCAATCCACCCGCCTCGGCCTCCAGAGTGCTAGGATTACAGGCGGGAGCCACTGAACCTGGCCAGAAGTTGTTTTTATTGTCTTTGTGTTTCTCATACTGCCTAGCATGGTGTTCTGTTTGTCAGGAACATTTAGTAGATGTGGGAATTAAATTGTCATTTTTAAGCCTTGTTATCTTTAATAATGATGGCAAATTGTTGCATTATAACAGTCTCTTATGCTCTAAGGAATATGTCTTACTTGATTTAACTCCTAATTCAAGGTGACAATTAAAAATGCTTTTTAGAAAGCACACGAAGAATATTTTTAATTAGTATTTTACCCAACAGACAAATTTTCCTGGTATAACTTAGGAAACACTTAAAATTATTTGGTCCTTCAGTCTTTTTGTTTTTTTTCAACACTATTTATGGTAAATTGGAAGCTAATCTACACTTTCATTTTTTGCCAACACTGTTTATTATCTATACTGTACCATACTGTTTAGTAAATAGAATGACTGTATTTACCTAACATTAATTTGTGTTAAGATTAGTAAAGTGACAATGGAAACTTCTTCATGGATTTGGAAAAAGCGACACTTGTTTTATCTCTCTATCCAACTGGTTTGTAATGTTTTATTTTAGCCTATTTCATCTGAAATCTTGTGGTTCAATTTGTTACTTGATTAATTCTTAATGAGTGTAAGGAAGACTTGGTTGTGAGAGAATCTGAAATCAAAATATTGCCAACTTTTACTTACAATGAAAATGATTTCAATTGCTCTAAGTTGTTTTAAAGCTAAAGAGCAGTGTGGAAAGCTCAGCATTTGTTTTGATTCTGCTTTAAGTATGCAGTGTAAAGGGCAGAAGCAGCCCAGCACTAACGGGAAGCACGTCCCTGTCTCCTGGTTCCTGCAGCGTCAGGATGGACTCAGGACCAGAACAGGGGTTTGATGTCTTCTGTAAAGTCTGGTTTCTTATACTAAGTTACTGATCTTTGATCCAATTGGTCTAATAGCTCCTCTAAATCCCCCCACCAGAGCTTGGAGCCAGCACTGATGGTAAGGTAAGTGCCTTAGTAGGCATTTCTACTTCTGGAAAGAAATCTTAAAAAGGCAGAGGAATAAACTAATTTTCCTTATATTCTTTAGGACATTTAAATGATACCTCAGGATCCAGGAAGCACAGAGAAATACTTAAAAGAGTTTGGAGTGAATGCTACAGGTTTGTGCTTTTTGGGAAAAAAAATTAAATGCTTTTCTATCTTGGCGCTTGTTTTAGGGGTTGTAGAAGGTGATTTAGCTGCCATAGAAGCATACAAGTCATCAGGAGGAGATATTGCACGTCAGCTCACCGCAGATGAAGTACGCTTGCTGAACCGTCCTTCTGCCTTTGATGTTGGCTATACTCTTGTACACTTGGCCATACGTTTCCAGAGGCAGGACATGTTGGCAATATTGCTTACAGAGGTGAGTGTGGCATTTTGTTTAAATGTTCTTTTATATTAAGGAAATCTGTTCTTTAGTTTTCATTTTTATATGTTATAATGTTTCTCCAAACAGTTCTTAAGTGTTTTCGGATCTTTTACTCCCTTTAAAAAATAACATTAAATTAAAAACTTCAGCAGTATATAATTCTTAAGGGTATATGCTTTTATTTATTTATTTTTTTTCTGAGACAGAGTCTTACTTTGTTCCCCAGGCTAGAGTGCCTTGGCGTCAGCCTAGCTCACAGCAACCTTAAATTCCTGGGCTCAAGTGATCCTTCTGCCTTAGCCTCCCGAGTAGCTGGTACTACAGGCATGGGCCACTATGCCTGGCTAATTTTTTCTAAGTATTTTTAATTGGCCAATTAATTTCTTTCTATTTTTAATAGAGATGGGGCTCGTGTTTGGTCAGCTGGTTCTGAACTCCTGACCTTGAGCGATCCGCCTGCCTCAGCCTTCCAGAGTGCTAGGATTACAGGCATGAGCCACCGCCCGGCCAATATGCTTTTTTTTTTTTTGAGACAGAGTCTCACTTTGTTGTCCAGGCTAGAGTGAGTGCCGTGGCGTCAGCCTAGCTCACAGCAACCTCAAACTCCTGGGCTCAAGCAATCCTCCTGCCTCAGCCTCCCGAGTAGCTGGGACTACAGGCATGCGCCACCATGCCGGCTATTTTCTATTATATTCAGTTGGCCAATTAATTTCTTTCTATTTATAGTAGAGACGGGGTCTCGCTCTTGCTCAGGCTGGTTTTGAACTCCTGACCTTGAGCAATCCGCCCGCCTTGGCCTCCCAAGAGCTAGGATTACAGGTGTGAGCCACAGCGCCCGGCCTCAATATGCTTTTAAATTGGGTACTTCACACCAATATTAGAATCATCATGGTTTCTTAAAATAAAAACCTGGGATGTATCTGTCATTCACTCATTTAGTTGTTCAACTAACAAATATTTGTTGAGTACCTGTTGTGCACCTAGCACTGCAGAGAAGGGTTAGAACTGTGAAGACATTGGCTCTTCTTCAGCATGTCTCCAGAAAAATAGAGAAACAGGTAATTCTGTGTAGCTTGTACCCTGATAGATGAAGTGCTGTGTGAGTACTTAGGAAATGGTTTTGAGGTTTCTTCCCTTCTTTCTCAGAGCAGGTAACGCTTTAGCTAAGATCTGAAGGAGGAGTGGGAGTTAGCCATGTGAAGTGGGTGGGGAAGAGAGAGGAGTTTAGGAAAGCATTTATGCAGGGGCCAGAAATCTTGATATTTGTAGTGAATTCAGGGACTTTTCAAATAAGTCAGCATGGCTGAGTTAGTGATTGTGAACTGATAGAGGGGGGAAGTGTGAGAGATGAGTAGGGGCTGGAGTATGAAGGACCTTTTGGTCAAGAAATTTGAAGATTATTCTGTGGACAATAAAAAGAGAAGATTATTCTGAGGGCATTCCTTCTGTGTCAAGGAATTTGAAAGTTATCCTGAGGGCACTGAAAGATGTTAGGAACAGAAGCAGGGGAGTGGGAGGAGCAGATTGTGTTTTGGCTGCTGAACACTGTAGAGGTTGAGCCTGGTTAGGGGAGGACATTGCAGTTGTGTTGGCAAGAAATCTGCCAACTAGGGCAGTGGCCATGGAAATGAAAAGAAGTGGCCTGGTTTGAGAGAGATGATGGACATGTCGTCAGTCTGAAGAAGTGGATCAGGTGGATATGGGGAGAGACAGATCCAAGTTGATTTTGAAGTTTCTAGCTTAGATAATTAGGTAGATACTATGAATGATAGAGGTTGCAAATGAATTATTCAGGATTTGACTATATTATCCAGGTAATTTTTTATAATGATAAGAGAAATAGAGTAAAAGTGCAGAGAATCATATCAATGGTGGGTTCAAATTTTGTCAGTATTCATCTTTTGTATATTTGTATACTTATGCCCTATTTGTTTATTAAAATTTGCAATGTTTGGCAACCATTATGTATAGGGCACTATATGGGGATTAAAAAACATGAAGGTGAGATGAAAGTATGATTGCAATGGCTAGCCATTGTGTCCAGTTTGGTAAGATTCCAGTGAAGCCAGGGTGTAGCTGGAGGGTATGAGAAGACTGAAGGCCATGATGTAAGCAAAGGGTTACTGTGTATAAGGGAGCAGGGTGCTTTTCAAATAGAGGGATCAGAGTTCTGGAACATGGGAGAGAAAACTTAGAGGTAGCTTTTATAGTGTTTAAGGTCTGGCTGTATTTGTGTTGTGGTGCCCAGTTGTGTTATATGTTGGAAGGGCCCCCAGTGTGGGGTTGTAGTGGTTGGTTGTGGCAGGAGACAGGATAAATAAGGCTGTGAACTAGGGTTAAAGTCTTTAGGGAATTCATAGGCTCCCTGCAGGCTGGTAGAAGAGTCTGCTACAGATTATGGAGGGGCTGTCGTAAGTCACAGAACTCCTAAGAGCAATCTGAGGACCAACCAGTGGGATGGTTATCATCCCAACCCGTGGGATGATAATAGAACAGTGCATATATTTCTGTATCACATATTGCCTGAACGCTTATCAGCTTAAGACAAGAAATGTTTGTTATCTCATGCAATTTTTGAGGGTCAGGAATCCACAAGCTGCTTAGATGAATGGTTTTGGCTCAGGATGTCACGAGGTTGCAGTCAAGCTGTTGGCCAGGGCTGTTGTTGTCAGAAGGCTGGAATGAGACCAGAGGATCTTTTCCCAAGCTCACCGCTGTGGCTGTTGGCAGGAGGCTTCAATTACTTGTCATGTGGGCCCATCCATAGAGCTGCTTGTGATGTGGCAGCTGGTTTCACCCAGAGCAGGTGATCCAAAAGAGGGAGAGAGTGGTCCAAATGGAACCTGCAGTGTCTTTTATAAACAAATTTAGGAAGCAATATACTGTTATTTTTGCCATGTTCTATGGGACCTGTAGACTAACCCTGGAACAGTGTGGGAGAGGTGGCAAGAGTTATTCCACATAAAGAGCAAAATTGATAATGGATAGGAGAATGTAGGAGAACGTTGGATTTGGGAATATGTATCTAGGGCAGGGGTTTTCATTGAGTTTTGTGTTATGGACCCTGTTGGTAGTCTGATGGAATTTCTGGATTCTTTCTCAAAAATTATATTTAAATGCATAAAATAAAAAATAAATAGCATTAGAAAGGAAATTATTTGTAGTAAAATATAGTTATCAAAATACCAAATCAAATTTGTGATAAATAAAATATATTTTAATATTGGCAAAAATTTAGTGAAAATGAAAGATTTAAACTTAAAACCAAATTTCCCTTCAAGTTCATGGACCCTAAATTAAGAACTACTAGTCTAAGGGGGTAGTTGAGAATTGTGAGGTTGAAGAGGTGAGCCGATGAGAAGCAGGCTTCAGGGACTTGTCCTGCCCAAGAATGGTGGTGGAAGTGAGGATTCTTGGAGGCCAAGTTTCCCTTGGAATATTTACAGCATTCAGGTCCAGTCTAGGTTGTTGATGGAAATGTCTTACCAGGTTTTTGGAAAGGAGCTGTGAGCTAGCAGATTGGAATAAACCCTTTTTGAATTTACCTTTGGGATCCATTTTAACAATATTACTTGAGAAACAGTCAGTTATATTCTGAAACTACTTAATACCTGGATTTCCATATTTGAGTGTTGATTAATCAAAAGTTGTGTTCATGGAGTTAAGATATGGTGAGAATTTTCATTTTTACTGGTAATCCTGGCCAATAAAGTCTAATAGAACTGAATTTTCATGTAGGAGGTTTCAGAATAGGGTATCAGGTGGCTGTCCTGGGTAAGCAGCGTTTTTCAAATACTGTTTACCTATTTTAATAGCAATTACAGTTAACTTGTCCATATATATTATGTAGATGACATTATCAGTAAATCTTGTTCTTTGGGTGGCTTACTGGAAGGTCTGCTTTCCAGGCCCCACTTGTGACTAGAAGGCTGCCTTCTGGAAGGTCATCCAGGTTGGTGATGTCAGAGAACAGAGCTCACTGGCTCACTTGGGGTTCTCAGGCCATGCTCTCCTCCTTACTAGCTGCAACTTTGATTTCAGAATTCTGTTTGTAGATATCTTGAGCTCCACAAACTGAGTATAACTGAAACCTAAGGTTAAATTTTTGCATCATTTGTTGCTGTTCAGCATTTAAAAAGGGGAAGAAAGTTCTACCCAGTGTTGTATTTCCTTGTTTAGAGGCCTCTGCTGTAGTGCTCACTGCAACAGTGCTCACATCTCACTCCTTTCAGGCTAGACTTCATAGATTTAAACTTGGAAATACCAAATGCTTTTTAAAAGTTTCAGAGTGGTAACAAATGGGGAGGGGGAAGGGGTTTGACATCACTGGGAACTAACCCACTTTGTTTATTCCAAGTCAGGGGACTTAAAACATGTGGGAAAGGAGTGCTTGCAATTTTCTCTTTCTCTGTCAGCTGGAATTCCCTGTTTTTTAAGAATGTTTTTATTGGGCACATGATGGTTAGTCTATTTAGGTTTAGGTATATGTATTTTTGAGTATTTCCTTGGATAAATTCTCAGGAAATAGAACTGAATCAGAGGGTAAAACATTTTTATGGCTGTTTTTCTGAAAAGTTGTACTGATATATACTGTCATTGGTAAGAAAATAATATCCAATACATTTTAAGATTAGGAAAAAAACACATTGAGTTATTTGGAAATTTTGCTAATTTCTTTTAAATACTGTTGTTTTCTATTTCCATCTATGATAAATGAGATGCAGAGGAAAGTTTCTTTTTTATTTAAGGTGTCTCAACAAGCAGCAAAGTGTATTCCAGCAATGGTGTGTCCTGAACTGACAGAACAAATCCGGAGGGAAATAGCTGCATCTCTTCATCAGAGAAAGGGGGATTTTGCTTGCTATTTTCTAACTGACCTGGTAACATTTACTTTGCCAGCAGGTAACTCCAAAATTTAATGTGAAAATAATTTTTCTTTAATTATAGTTATATTTTTATGCATGGGTGAAAAATGTGTTCTTGTTAGAAAGCATATAACTTAGCTACTATATGTGTATCTTAAATTACTTGACTGTCCTATTTATTCTGGAAGTGACCAGTATAAGGGCTACATGTAAATGAATCTTTTAGTTATCTGGGAGGAATACAGCAGCTGATAGTAACTGATTTTTGTTTTTTGGAGACAGGGTCTTGCTCTGTCACCCAGGCTGGAGTGCAGTGGCATCATCATAGCTCACTGCAACCTCAAACTCCTGGGCTCAAGCGATCCTTCCATCTCTACCTCCCAAAGTGCTAGGATTGCAGGCGAGCGCCACTGTGCCTGGCCCCATTAATTGCTTTCTTGAGTGCTTCAGATATTTTTAAAAAATCTCTTTTACCCACTTATTTTTCTCTTTGGTTTTATTTTAGAATATCCTTTTTTCATCTCCTTTAAAAAGTTTTCTCTTTCTTTTGAAATTGGTTACCTGGTGTTAAGAGACAGGATTAGAACGTGGGCTTTTTTGATGGGTAGAGTCAGGTTATTTGAATGAAAGATATTGGTATTTTCTTGAATGTGTCATTCCTTTTTCACTCATACTAATTTCTATATTTGTGAAGCAACTTTTCATTTTTCGATTCAATGACAGTTGGAAACATCTTCTGGAATGCCTTTTGTTAGTTGGCACTGAAGAAATACACCAAAAGTTTATAAAATAAAGCTTCCACCTGTGTTCTTAGTGTTCTGAACTTTTATATTCACACATAAACAGGGGTGTTTACAAGTGGTAGAAGAGAATAACCAAGCCTTCTAAAATTGGAGTAAATTTCATTTGGAATGTACTCTCAATATATTTGAGCTTAAGTAATTAGATTTTTATTTTTAATTGAAATGGCTTCTTTTTCAAAATAATTTAAGGGTAATGCTCCTTATTGTAGGCTACTCTATTAAGTAACCTGAGTAGAGCACAGAATATTGGAGCATGATGACAAAAAAACTGTGTTACATGGCTCATTAACTTTTATAAGGAGATTCTGAAGGCTGAAAATAGCAGGTCTGAGCAGAGTTTGCCAGTGTGAGAAAAGAACAAATCAAAATTTCTGTGCAGTTATTGGTTCAAATGTTACTTATTAAATGTTTTTATAATGAAGTACAGAAAGGAAATATTTTATATCACAAATACATTATACATGTACAAAGCTATCTGACAACTTTCAATGGAAAGGGATTTATTTTAGAAGTTACTATTGGATGCTGGTATCAAGTTTATTAAGTTATGAAACAAAAGATCTTTTAAGTCTACCTTTTCTTTGTAGATATTGAAGACTTGCCCCCAACAGTCCAAGAAAAATTATTTGATGAGGTACTTGATAGAGATGTTCAAAAAGGTAAGCATGGAATTAATGAGTGTAATTTACCTTTTCATCTGATCAAGTAACTTTTGCTTTATTTTGTGTGATATGGCAGCTTGCTTTATTTTAAATTAAAGATGTAAGCCCTTAAGAACAGTGTCATGTTATACTGTTAAAAATGCTCAAACACAGCTCTTAACTGTGTTAGGGTTAACAAATAAGGGTACACCAGCCTGAGCAAGAGCGAGACCCTGTCTCTGCTAAAAATAGAAAGAAATTAATTGGCCAATTAAAAATACTTAGAAAAAATTAGCCAGGTGTGGTGGCACATGCCTGTAGTCCCAGCTACTTGGGAAGCAGAGGCAGAAGGATTGCTTGAGCCCAGGAGTTTGAGGTTGCTGTGAGCTAGGCTGACTTCATGGCACTCTAGCCCGGGTAACAGAGTGAGACTCTGTCTTAAATAAATAAATAAATAAGGGTATAGAAGTTTTCAAACTTCAGTTTTCTACTTCTTATTCCAGGCTGCATGTATTTCTATGTTAAAATTTTTAGAAAATTATAGGGAATTTAGCTGAGCACTGTGGCTCATGCCTGTAATCCTAGCACTCTGGGAGGCAAGGTGGGAGGATCATTTGAGGTCAGGAATTTGAGACCAGACTGAGCAAGAGTGAAACCCTGTCTTTACTAAAAATGGAAAAATTAGCCGGTTTTTATGGCATGCACCTATAGTCCTAGCTATTTAGAGGCTGAGACAGGAGGATTGCTTGAGCTCAGGAATTTGAGGTTGCTGTGAGCTAGGCTGATGCCACGGCACTATAGCTTGGGCGATGAAGCAAGACGGTGTCTCAAAAAAAAAAAAAGAGAAGAATTTAAAAGTTGAGTAAATTATTATAGAGCCACAAGATTTTTCAACTAAAAAAGTTTATATTTCAATTGATCAAATTTATTTAGGTATTTATTGGTAAATTACATATAACCCTTTTTACATTTAGAAGAAAATAGATTGTTTCCCCTATAGAATATTCCTTAATTACATAGGCATAAAAATAAACATGTTATTTAAATTCCTCATACAGAATTAGAAGAAGAATCTCCAATTATTAACTGGTCCTTGGAATTGGCTACACGTTTGGACAGTCGACTATATGCACTTTGGAACCGGACTGCAGGAGACTGCTTACTTGATTCTGTACTACAAGCTACTTGGGGCATTTATGACAAGGACTCAGTGCTTCGGAAAGCCCTGCATGATAGCCTTCATGACTGTTCACATTGGTGAGCTGGCATCCTTCTTTGTTTCAATCCAGGAGTGCACTTGCTGGATCATGTCTTTGTAGTGGTGGGTTACTTTTCATCTCAGTTACAGTTTCTGTGGAAACTAGAGAAAAAAACCTTTTTGGTTTTGGACATTAAGACACTTTGAACTTGTCAGTGGTTTTATACCTTTTTGCTAATAAGCTTTAAAATAGAACATTTGAAGCTTTAAATTGGAAGCATTTAGTTTCTATAGAATAGAAACAATGTATTTGGACATTTCAAATATAGCATTTCAAATTATAGCCTTACATATTGATAAGGTCTTTGCTTATATTTTTAGATAATATGATTTCATATTTTTGTTTAAGAGATTATGTTGACATTCTATTACTAGTTTTTTTTTCTTCCTAAAGATGGAGGGAGTCTTAAGATCATATTCTTTTATTTTGCAAATTTTCAAACCCGTAGAAAAGTTTAAAAAAATCACAGCAGATCCCAGTATCTCCTTCATTTGCTCCAACAGTCGTTAATGTTTTGCCACACCTGCTCCATCTCTACACACATAAACACTCCCCTGTGGTGCTTTCCCCTTCAGTATATCAACGTGCATCTTTCCAGGACAGTAACATTCTCCTACCTAGCCACATCTCTGTTACTACACTTAAGAAGACCAATATTGATTAAATTTCCCAGCATATACAGTTCATATTCACATTTTCCCAATTGTCTCAAAATGTTCTCTCTCTCTCTATTTTTTATCCAGGATCCAGTGAAGTCTTGATTTTTCCAACTGTAAATTCACCCACTGAAGTATCAATCAGTGGGAACAGTGACTGTGTTTGTGAATTAATAGTTTAGTCTTTACATTCATTTGTGGTATTTTCTTGGTTCTGTGAATACTCAGTTATTTTATAAATGATAAAATTGAGGCTCATGCTAAATTAAACTGCCCATTGTTGTCTTTAGTAAGTAGCAGAAGTCATTTAAAATTTCATATTAGTTTGCCTGTATTAGTATCAAAATGTCCTTTTTCTCCTGTGTTTCATTAAATGCTTACAAATAATGCTAAAGGCCTACTCTAGATAACTTTATTATCCTACTATCTATATGTCATTTTTGAGTACTTACTAGCTGTAAATTTTGTTGTCAGTATTTAGGGGTTACAAGAAGAACATAAACTCTATGAGAAAAGGGATTTTGTTTTGTTTTCTTGTGGAAGATCCCATACCTAGAATAGCCTGACACATAGTAAGTGCTCTCTAGTATTTGGAAATGAGAACAATGTGTAATTACTTTTGTGAAAACTAATTATAGATCAAAGCATAATGCAGAGTAAAATAGAGTAAAAATTTGTCCTCTGACAGAAAGAAAATAGCTCCCTGGTTGGCAAGCCTGGATGATCACCTGATTGGATATATAATATAGCTAATGAAAGAATGCACCACTCAGGTGGATGGTTTTAGTCATTTAGTCTTTGTCCAAGAGAGAGAGCTTTGTGCCTTTTATTGGAAATGGTTGCTGTGAAGTGGTTTGGTAGTATGGGAAGACCATTCCTGTCTATGAGATGGGTTCATCAGGTTAGGTAAGCCTGATGCCATTAAATGTTGTCCAAGCCCTCTTGATCAGATTGCACGCTCTCCAAGCAACATCCTGCTGATGAGTTATTTGGCCATCTCTGTGGGCCTGCCGGTGTTGAGAAGATGAGAGTAGTTTGGTTCCTGTGATAATGGTTTCTTGGCATTGTGGCTCCCATAGGTAAGCCTTGTAAGTTTGGTTAATGTGACTTTGCCCTGTAAGATGGATCTGTTCTCTCGCATTGGTGAAGTCTAGCTTCTAAGTTCAAAAGCTAGATTTGGGCCATGGTAAATCTATCACTTTGCAAGTCCCCCTTAAAAAGGCAGTGTGGCAGTCATTCCTATGGCAGAAATATCCTGGCTTTGTTGAAAGGCTGGAAAGTACACTAAATTTCAGCAGGTGATGTCTTTTTTTCTAATTGTGAGCTTTTTTTTTTTTTTTTTAAAGACGTTTGTGGCTAGTGATAATTCTCTGGGGCTTATGCTACCTGTTCCTCAAAGGTAGAAATTGGTGCTCTTAAGAATTGGAGTTGCCCCATATGTTTGTATCAGGATTAGAATTCTGAGTCATTTGAGGTCCCAAAAGTTTAGCGCAGAGGTAGGGAGACAAGAGTCTGAGCATTAAGTGGGCTGGGTCAGAGGAGTGCCTGTTAGAGTGAGGAGCGAGGCTCTTTGTTTACAGCCACTGGTAACAGTTATTGTGGCAGAGCTTTCAGTAGGTACTCCTTACTCTAAAAAGGTGCTTCAGGAGTGAGGACTGAGAGCTGGCATTATGTATAGGTGTCCCAAAACAGTAGGCACCACCTACTCTGATCCCTGCCGTTGGGTATCTTTGCCTGATGTTTTACAGTTTAGGCATAGGCAGCTGCATGATTGCAGTGATCACACAGACATCCTTAGAGTATTGTGGGGGTGGGGATGAAGGTTATCTAAGGGGGGGAGGGGAGTAGGGGAGTGTTGTTGCTGTAGATTCAGGACTTCAGTTGACTAGGTCAAATATGTTAGCTTTAATGAATAACCTTTAAATTGTTCCTGTGTTGTCATGGGTTTGTTCACATAGGTTCACATGACTATTAGAGGGTAGAATGAGAGGGGGTGAGCAACCTTGGCTTCTGTTCTAGGCATGGAGAGGAGGAGACAGCATACTCCTCTTGTAGTCTCCTTTTTAAGCCGCTCTTTGCCGAGGTGCCATTTGTACTTAATCCACCGAGAAGAGATGTTTTCTTAAGTCATTGAAATTATCTAGTAGAAACTGAGAAAGCAATTTTAAAAATATAAACCTCTCCACCTGTCACTTCAAGGTAGGCTTTTTAAAATGTGTTTGTAGCTGTGCTGTTGTGTTGGACAATGATTTGAGCGGACTCAAGTTCTAAAGTCTGAATATATTGTACTTGCCTTTCATTGATATGTCAATCCAATTCCTCAGAGGGGCAGGTGGGAGCTATTAATGTAAATAGGGAAAAATCAATACAGGTCTTTTAGAATTATTGCTGTTTTTGTTACTATTTGGTAGAGTTGTCTGTAGCTTTTATATTGTATTTTTCAGTATAATCTGCTGCAAATGGTGTTTGGATGTAGACCAATAAGTAATACATGTTTAACCATGCCCTCCTTAAATATATGTAGTTAATACTTGTACTATCATCTGGATAGGTAAAATTGTAGTGGAAATATTAAAAAGTAAGATTAAAATATCTCAAATATTAAGCCTGAATTTTAGTTAATTCTTATCTTTTACAAAAAAGCAAATTTATTATAGTATAATTTGGATACCCTAATAAAATACACTTGTTTAAGCATACAATTCAGTGATTACTATTAAGTTTACAGAATTGTGTAGCCATCACTACAACAGAAATATAGAACATTTTTAGCACCACAAAAAGAAACTTTGTGTCTTTTCTCAGTCCCTCCCACTTCACATTCCCAGCCCCAGACAACAACTAATCTTTCTATATCTGTACATTCGCCTTTTGTGGTCACCTTATATAAATGAAATCATAAAATATGTGGTCTTTTGTGACTGGCTTCTTTCACTTAGCATAACGTTTTAAAGGTTCGTCTATGCTGTAGCATGTATCAATACTGTTTTTTTTTAAATTACTGATTAATATTCTACTTTATGGCCACATGCTTCATTTTGTTGATGTATTCAGTTGGTCGATATTGGGTTGTTTGTACTTTTTGGCTGTTATGGATAATGATGCTGTGACATTCATTTACAGGTTTCTGTGGGACAGTATGTTTTAGTTTCTCTTTTGCAGATATCTAGGTGTGGAAATGCTGGGCCATAAAGTAAACTTATGCTTGACGTTTTAAGAGACTGCCAAACTATATTTTATAGTGTCTGTAGCATTTTACATTTCTGTCAGCAGTGTGTGAAGATTACAATTTTGTCACATTTTCACCAGCACTTATTGTCTCTTTTTGATTATAACCATTCTTATGCCTATGAAGTAGTATCTCATTGAGGTTTTGATTTACATTTCCCTAACTGATGATATTAAGCATCTTTTCAAGTGCTTATTGGTCATTCATGTATCTTTGCCAAAATATCATTCCATATCTTTTCCTCATTTTTAAAGGGATTGTCTTATTATTGAGTTGCAGGTGTTTTTTATGTATGAGGTCCCTCATGGATAAGTAATTTGCAGATATTTTTCTCCATTCTGTGGTTTTTCACTTTATTAACAATGTCTGGTGAAGTGCAAGAGTCTTTAATTTGACGGAGTCCAGTTAACCAATACTTTCATCACTTGTGGTTTTGTTGAATGTGAAGAAATCTTTGTCTAGCCCAAGGTCACAAAGGTTTACTCATGTTTCATCTAAGAAGTTTATAATTTTTTTAACTTTTACGTTTAGGTCTGTGATCCATTTTGAATGAATTTTTATTTAAGGTGTAAAGTGTAAAGTTTTAAATTCATCTTTTTGCGTGTGGATATCCAGTTGTCCCACTACTATTTATTGAAAAGACCTTTTTCTCCATTCAATTGCCTTGGCACTTTTGTTGAAAATAAGTTGACCATAAAAGTAAAGGTTGGTTTCTGGGCTCTCAGTATTTTTCCATTGATCTATATATCTATCCTTATGTCACTATTAGACTTTCAGGATATTTGTAGCTTTATATTAAGTTTTGAAATCAGGAACGTTTTAAATCCTCTAACTTTGTACTTCTTTTTTAAGATCACTTTGGCTATTCTGAGTCCTTTGAGTTTCCATATAAATTTTAGGATCCATTTTACTGACTTTTGCAGAAAGGACAGCTGGGATTTTGATTGGGATTGCATTGAATCTGTAGATAATTTGGTAAGGGGAAAATATTGCCAGTTTGACAATATTTAGTTTTCCAATCTGTGAGCATAGAATTGATTTTTTAATGTTAAGCCAAACTTGTATTCCTATACTGTTTGGTCTTATGTTGCTTAATTTGGTTTCCTTTCCTGGTGAGCCAGGTAGCTTCAGAGTTTAGGTCTTGGTGTGGTGGGGATGATTATTTGAACATGTTTATATTGAAAGTATATTTTTTGAACTCCCTTACTCAGAAGTCCCAGAAAACTCTTTAAGAGTTTTAAGTGCAGTCATCATTTAATTTTTGGCTGACTTACCTACCTAGCTGTCTCATTCATAAAGTGATTTTAAGCACTAACCAAGAAATTTCTAATTGCATACATCTTTCTGTGTGTTAACAATTTGTGTTTGCTGATATTTCTGCTTGAACATTTTAAAACCGTGTCTTTCATCATTGGTTTCAAAACATCCAAATATATTTTTAAAGCATTTGGGGCCGGGCATGGTGGCTCACGCCTGTAATCCTAGCACTCTGGGAGGCCGAGGCGGGCGGATTACTCAAGGTCAGGAGTTCAAGACCAGCCTGAGCAAGAGGGAGACCCCCATCTCTACTAAAAATAGAAAGAAATTAATAGGCCAACTAAAAATACATAGAAAAAATTAGCTGGGCATGGTGGCGCATGCATGTAGTACCAGTTACTTGGGAGGCTGAGGCAGGAGGATTGCTTGAGCTCAGGAGTTTGAGGTTGCTTTGAGCTAGGCTGATTCCATGGCACTCTAGCCCGGGCAACAGAGTGAACTCTGTCTCAAAAAAAAAAAAATAAAAAATTGAAATTGTGATTTAAGAAAAAACCATCTGTTATTTGGAATATGAAAAATGTTTTTTAATCAAGAGTTTAAACTTCTAGAACATTATGTTCTAGTCCTTTTAGAAAATATGAAGTGTATTAATTAATTTTCTAATAGAGCCTTCCATTAAATTACTGTAAAGGTACTTGTGACATCAACACATTTAACTTTTCTGTGCTGGAACTTTGAACAACAGCAACAAATGATTATGTTCTTGCCTTTTATTCTTTTACCTAGAATTCCAGTGCATAAAAGAGGAAGGGGATGTCATAAAAATGTCTGTCTTCACTTCAGAGGTCTTGGATGGCTTGTTTTGTAAGACAGTAAACCACAATTTTCAGCATAATTATTTCTGCATTTAGTTAATTTTATATTCGATGTCAAGAAAAAGAATTGAGTTTGTTTTTAGTAATTCAGTCTACATATTTGTAGGGGTATTTAAATATCAAGAAGGAATTGCTTTTGTAGTTATAGTGGTTGGGGGTTTTTTTTTGATTATTAGGTGATCCTCAGAGAAAGATAATTTTATGTATGGAAAGGAATCTCAGGGAAGTGATCTTGATATTATGAACACATGAGCTAGTTCGCATCTGCTGTTTATACAGTGATCAAGTAGTGATATACTATACATTGATGGAGAAAGGTAGTGTCTTTGATTGTATCCAATATCTCAGCTGACTATTTTGAGTATATTTTTTTGGTTTAAAAATCAATAGTAGACAACTGAAAACACTAGTTTTTGAAGTTTGATGGGTGGTGAATCAGATTCTGGCTGAAGATGTTAGTGATGTCTGGTATCAGAATAGAGGTATTTTTAATTTGAAAAATATATTGCAAACCAGGTAAAATCAATAAAATTATTAATCTGTTCACATGAACTGCTTAAAAAGACTGTGTCAAATAAATGATTAGAACATTAAATAGACTGTCTATACGCTAATTTTTTTACTGTCTTGCTTTTTAAGGTTTTACACACGCTGGAAAGATTGGGAATCCTGGTATTCTCAGAGTTTTGGTTTACATTTTTCCTTGAGAGAAGAGCAGTGGCAAGAAGACTGGGCATTTATACTCTCTCTTGCTAGTCAGGTAAGAATGTTTCAGTCCTTGTTGCTTCTATGAGAAAATTAAGCCACATGACCTAAATTTCTTGATTTACTTACTTGAGCAAACCATATTGGAGGCAACGTAGAATAAAGACACTGACGTGCTATCGGCTGACTTGGGCTTTAGTCTTGACTGCTGTTTATCACATATATGACCATAGCAAATCTTCACTGCAGACCAGGGAGAGTAACTGTGTGTCTCTTATATCAAGTGATAAAAACTGTCAAAGTGAAAGTTGTCCTGTGATGTTTCTGAGCGCTTATAGTTTTGAGGTGACTCTGCATTCCTCCTAGGCATAGGAGGTTCAATGCCTATTTCACCTACCTACAGTCCTGTTCTGTGTCAAGTGGGGGCTTACCTAAGATTATTGAACTAGCAGTAGGTATTTGCTGCTGCTGCTAACTGGTACTGCTATTGCTGAGCTGCCAGGGCCTGAGGCACAAATCACCAATCTCCATAATGTTCCCCAGTGGTGAGACTGTATCCATGTGACTTAGGCAAAGGGGAGGGTACACAGTCTAGTTTACTCTGAATTTATTGCCATTGGTAAGTATGATTTCTAATTAATGTGGGAATGAAATTATCCAACATTTTTAAATGTAACCTTTTTATAAATGAAGCCTTCCTATAACAGAATTGTGTAGGATTGTCCCTTTTAGACTTTTAGTTTTATGCTAGTTTTACTTTGTGAGGCACATTCAATGCACTAAACTGTAAAGCTTAGATATATGCACAACAGACGTCCCCTTTTCTTTCTAGAAAGCACCATAGTTCACTTGAACTTTGAGAAGGAAGTGTCTTTTGTCTTTGGGCCATTTGGGCAGGGTTCATAGTGGCTAATTTACATCTGAGACATGGACATTTTGGCCATGTGTTGTTAGAATCATTGTAATTGGAAGATAGGCCTATTTAGTATTAACATTCAGGAGTTAGGTGATATGTCATTTACATTTGTATGAAATAACAGGGATCATCTTTTCATTTCAGGGGGACTTTGTTGTAGGTATTACTTACACAGGTAACTTAACCATCACTTGCTATCTGACTGAATCTCTGGTTCTTGAGAGTTAATGTTGAAGTTGAATAGCAAGGGATATCCCAAAATATTTATGCACATTTATCTGGCTTGTGAGTTTGGATAGTGAATGACACCTGTATGTAGACTCTGTAGAGCAATCAAATGATTCTACAACTTTACAATAATTATTTTTTAAAAGTGAATTGAGATAGTATGCTGAAGATAGTATTGCTTTTTATACATTAGCTTTCCAGGAGTCCTAATAAACATTTTAAAGCAAAATTGCCTTTTTTCCCCCCCTTCTATACAGCCTGGAGCAAGTTTGGAACAGACACACATTTTTGTACTTGCACATATTCTTAGACGACCAATTATAGTTTATGGAGTAAAATACTATAAGAGTTTCCGGGGAGAAACTTTAGGATATACTCGGTTTCAAGGTAAGCTATTATTCAAGAGCATTTTAGAAGTCTCTTATTTATTATTATAATGTAGTTGACAGCCTTATTGTTAATTACTAACTGGAGAGTAGGATCAGAGTGGATCTTGAAAGTCAGGAAAGTGGAACAGCAGACTGGGGAATGTCCATGTGGGAAAGGAGGCAGTGAGCTACCTTGACGTGAGACCAATAGGGATTTTCTTCCCTCTTTTTCCAGGTGTTTATTTGCCTTTGTTGTGGGAACAGAGTTTTTGTTGGAAAAGTCCAATTGCTCTGGGCTATACAAGGGGCCACTTCTCTGCTTTGGTTGCTATGGAAAATGATGGTTATGGCAACCGAGGTGCTGGTGCTAACCTGAACACCGATGACGACGTCACCATCACGTTTTTGCCTCTGGTTGACAGTGAGAGGAAGTTACTCCATGTGCACTTTCTTTCTGCGCAGGAGGTAAGCTGTATATTTCTCCAATTAACTATGTATAGTAGTTAACTTTGTACCAGAACCTGGCCTAGGGTGGTTTTATTTGCATTATCAATTAAATTTCTGAATGTGGTTGTAGTAATTGCTACATTCTATAAATACCAGCCATACATTGAAATTTACCTTTCCAAAACTATTGTGTGGGGACACATCAAGTAGCTAAAATAATCATCACTATCCTCAGGTGATGATGAATGCTATGAAAAATACACGTGGAGGTTTGTGATTTAAATAGGGTGGTAAGGGAATGGGTCACTGAGGAGGTGGAAGTTAGTCTCAGCAGAATCTGGGGTTAGAGTTCTAAGAATGGCAAGGCCAGTGTGGCTTAGGGGAGAGTGCAGGAGGGGAGGAGATGAGGTCAGACGTGTGATAAGGACAGGGGTGGCGTTAATCCAAAGCCTTTTAAAGCTTTGGCTTTTACTCTGGATAAATTGAGAATGGCCAGTGGCCACTTGGCCCAGAAGAGGACCGTTGGCTGCTGGGTTGATAGACAGACACCTGGGCAGTGGCAAGAACATGAACAGCAGGTAAATGAGCAGGTGGCAAACAGGTGGTGAGAATGTACAAAAGAACACTCTTAGAAGGCCCATATTTTTACAAAATTATTGGTCTTTTATTTAATATACTAATAATTATCACAAAACATTTATAATCACAACATTAAGAGAAAAAAAAACCTCATAGACCATAACTTGTGTAACTTCAACCTGTATGTAATCTACCCAGTAAACTTACCTTGTCATGTGGTTGAAGCTGTGAGTGACTTTATGTCAATTTTTTTTGCCAAGATAAGCTTATTAGAACATTTGCTTTTTGTTATTATATCAAACAAACTAATTCCTGGGTGTTCTTCCCTTTGGCATTTTCTGATAATTCCCCCACTGATGTATTTTTTAATTTAATCAGAGCAAACTGGGTTTTAATCATAAAACCAATAAGAGATTGAAACCATGTTAATACAGCTTGTTGCTTTGGCCTTTTCTTTAGTTATCATAGCAGCTGTAGGTTTCTGTTAAATTCCTATTAAGAGTCTGATCTGTTGTATTTTCCCTTTTCCTTCACACTCCTCTAAAAGCTAGGGAATGAGGAACAGCAAGAAAAACTGCTCAGGGAGTGGCTGGATTGCTGTGTGACTGAGGGGGGTGTTCTGGTTGCCATGCAGAAAAGCTCTCGGCGGCGAAATCATCCCCTGGTCACGCAAATGGTAGAAAAATGGCTTGACCGCTACCGACAGATCCGGCCTTGTACATCCCTGTCTGATGGAGAGGAAGATGAAGATGATGAAGATGAATGAAAAAAAAATCAGTATCAGAAGACCAAGGCATTGGATCTGTGATGACCCCAAAGTGTGGTGCTCCAAGCAGAGCGTGCAGCATGGAATGAACCAAACCTGGCCGTATCTGCTCCGGAGTGTTTGCCTGATCCACACCCAGTGGAGACAGTGCATCTGATGCATGAGGTGACAGAGAACTTTGGTTGGACTACAGTTTGTAAAAAACTAATTTTATTAAGACAGAACTTTTTTCCTTTCAAATTGTAAATCTGTCTATAAATGTAACGCATGTGGTTGTGTAAGAAATTGTGTAATAGGAAAAGTTGTACCAGCATCTTCATATTATTGAGAAATTTTTTTCCAGCATGGGCACTTAAAAAAAGCACATGGCAGGTGATTCTTTGTTCCTTTGAGATACTCTTTTTTCAGTAGAACCGGTATTCTACCTTCACCTTAAAAGATCCCTTTTAACATTAAGTCTCAAATCTGGAAACTTTTTTGTAGAAATTATCCACAGCAAAACATAAAAATAAATAAGCTTTTATTTTAATAATTTAGTTCCTGTTGTGCCCAGTCAAATCAAATCTTTTAGGAACAAAACTGCAAGAAAAACTAAGAATTTTTTATTGGGTGAACTTCGCATAGACATTGTTTCCATGTTTTGAAGAGGGTTTTGGTTTCTCTTATTTTTGTTTTCTGATATGCCCCTTTTCAGTATTTAGGTATTTTGTTTGGAAGAGTGCCCTAAAATGAGGGTTCTTACTCCAGACTCTGGCAGTGGTCTGTTTGTGAATAGCTACTCCCTGGAAAAGGGAGCAAGCCCACTTGTGACTAAATCGATTGTATGAAATTTGCTCAGTTGGACTCCACTGACAATGTTCTACCCCCAATTGCCATGCAGAGGGTCTTTGGATTCTGTCTTTTATCATAACCCCTGCTACTCTAAGCAAATCTTGTTAGAAGGGCATGCCTTTCCTTAGGCAGATTGGGAATACCAGTTCAGTACAGAATAAAGATTTGGAAAAATGCAATAAGGTGGTAAATGCATTGTATGATGAATTTCTCAGTGTGTAGTCTGAGAATTTTTGCATGTCGGTTAATTGTGGTCATTCTTATTTAAAGTTAAAACTATAATCTTAGGTAGAAAAAAAAATTTTTTTATATATAAAAGTATTATTTGACCACTTCAGGTATACATTCAATACTGGGTAAAAATTTCAGACCTATCTCAGGAACACAAAAAGACTTAGTGTCCTGATAAGCACTTTCTTAACTATTGATATGGCAAGGAATTTGGAAAGAAGCCCAATATATATATAGACACACACAAACATATATTTTTCCTTCCCTGTGATGAAAAGGCTGTGAAAACCTTTTTAGTATTTGCTTGTTTTCTGTTTAGTTGTTACTAAAATGTGCATAACCTCAAATTTGATGCCAGAATACTAAAAATAGATAAATACCCATGAGCTGTCATGTCTTCAGTTCTTTCCCCACCTCTGAACACTCAGAAAGTTGTTCCCAGGATGAAAGGATAATTTTTGCTGCATGCTAAAACTTGAAAATATTTTTGCAGTATGATTCCATATAAATGAATTTTGATATAATAATGGTAAATGTTACTGTTCTAAGTGGTTTATGTTTTCTTACAAATTGACTATGGTTTGCTTTCATTTTGGTCAGTAGTTAATAATCAAAGTTATTCTGACCTCTTAGCATCTGTAGTAACTTTCTCCATGTCTAGGGATCTTCAGTGGGCAGAGATCCTGTACTAGATGCCTGTTAAGCAAAATCTGCCTTCCCGATTGAAGAAGCCAAAGAGAAATACTAGAGGAAAAGCATCTGGTCACTGTAGTCTACATTGCAGATGATGTTCAGAGAATTACAGGCTCAGTATTTAGCTTCTATCTGTGTGTTGTGGTCTGGTGAGTGTTGTTTCCATCCAGTTCTCTCTTTATTTATTTATTTATTATCAGTGACCCTGACCACATATAGTTTGATAGGTACAGTATTCTTCCCTGTGGGAAAGAATTATAGATGGTTCCATTTCCTAGGCTACAAACAGGAATGGGGCTTTAAATGGTTTTCATAGTAGATTGGCTGTTAAAGGCCAAGTTTTCTGGTAAATCATTGCTATATTAAGCTCTTGAACTATTAAACAGCCATAATTATTGTCCCAAGATAGAGTAGTACATACTCTTTTGTTGAAGATTATATGTGGCTGGGTGACAGACGTGAATGTCTTTTGATCGACTCTGGACAGTAATAACTGTATGGACTTAACTTTATGGTTGTTTTTCTGGGGTGAAAAAGAGTGTGGTGTTTTTTGTTTTGACCTGTTCTTCCTTGAAGTAAACTTATAAATACACGATCATTTCCAAAAGACTGTTCGGGCAATGAAGATCTAATTAAACAAGACCCAGGTGCACCACGAATTCAGACCTGTCTTTTTATGTTTTTGATTCTTAGGCTCATTGTGTCCCAGATTGAATATATGTGAAGGTAAAATACTCCCTGTGTGTGCTTGGTGCCTCCTTTCCATGCATATTTTGTGGTTATGAAGATGTTAAATTACCCTTTTGCTCTTTGGAGTGCTAGGTCAGTAACTGTGTGCTCCATCTCTCCTTGGGAAGTGTTTTTTTAATGTAATTTTTTCATGGCAGAGTTGGGATGGGGCCGCTACCTTAAAATGAGTGGGGAGTCAAGGCCAGGCAGGTTGACTGGTTTAATACCATTATTTGTTTTCTTAATGGGAAGAGAAGGAAATGATTCAGAAGGAGTTTGATACCTGGAATTACTGGACTTAATCGACAATTGCAGACACCACTAGTATAAAGGGTTTAATGCTATTTGAAAAGGAAGATCCATTAAATCAACAAAGGTCTTAACCTTGTGAAAATGGCTGATGTTACTTATTTTCCAACACTGTAAATATCACAATTGTTAGGTTGTTGACAAAAAAGGTTTCAAGATTCACTTCCCCTTCTTGAATTTTGCTTGGGGTAAATTAAAATCAAAATACAAGCAACTTTGTTTCTTGAATTGACTTAGCTCTAATCCACTATTTCATCTTAAGGATGGCATGATTTGATAACAGTGGACTTGTATGAGGTTTTGATTTTCAATTAAACTATCACATGAGGTAATTGTCAGCATTCTTGAGTCTGGATTAGGCAAATAGAACCTGGAATCACAAGAGTTGGAAATTGGCTAATTGACAATGCAGTTGCCTTTAAACATCTCCAATAGAGAACTTTTTACATTGGTGAGATGTACTTGAATTTCAGAACAGAAATTTTAATTACTTTTTATTGAAAACTGCACTGAATGCTAAATGTCCACCTTTACAATAAACAAATACAGTAACGGTAACTCACACTAAAACAAAACATACTTCTGATAGCCATTATTTTTCTGTTTGGGACAGTTTTAAAGTTTTTCTTTTGTCACAAAAACAGGAATGTACCTATACAAAGGCTCAAAATAGGCCATCTTTTTTTAAACAAAAAGGCAATGATTCACAAAAGACTATGAATAGAACATGTAACTAGTTGATACAAATCTAATAGGATTTGTTAAAATCAGTCACATCTAATACATCTGAAGTGTTCTTGTATAAAATATCACGTGAAGAAAAGAAGACTTTATCAATGTCTAAAAAAGTGGGTTTGTTCATAGACAATCTGACAAGTTACCATAAAAAGTGTTTCCTGAGACATAAGGAAATGCAACATTATTCTTCTTGAACCCTTTTAGTTCAAGACTTTCCACTCAATAAAATAGCTGAGGATCTGAAACTGAGAAAATATATTTGAGTACAAACAGCTTGTGAAACTTAATACTTTTTTTTTTTTTTTTTTTTTTGCATCATCAGAGGGTATCACTGAACTTACAACCAACTTGCCCGCTCAGTATGCAGTTCAGATGTGAAAAAGACACTTCTCTGTACAGGATCCTGTACTGTCTTCAATCCTATGCGTGCAGATGTCTAACACAGGCAAACAGTTTTCTCCCCATTTTGTAGTTTAATCTTCCTATTAGCAAAAAGAGGTAACCAGGCCCTGTAGACCGAAGGGACTAGAGTCATAGGATGGGGATTTCCTCTTAACATTTTTTATTTTGATGTTTGGAACTCTTGATGCAACATTCTAGAGCAGGGTGCTCAGGACCTGCTGTGCCCAAGGGACTGATAAAGGAAAAAGCTCTATTTATTCTTTGTGATTTGATGCACAGATGAAAAACTTAACACACAATAACAGAAGTTGGTCGTTAATAAATCACGTCCTAGTCTTTTCAGCGCTTCCGTAAGCAGACATCTTCAGTTTTCTAGCTCTTGTAGTTTTAACACTGCAACATCAATGATGCATATGTCCAAAATCAGTTAAAAAGACCGTCAAATTCCTTTTCTCTTAGTTCATCTATATTCCACTGTCTCTTGGTCCCAAGTTTATCTGAATGTTTACCTTCTGGCATCCTCTGCTATTGCTCATTGGGGTGCTCTCGATTGTCCCCGTGTTTTGTGGGCTGGTTGGGAGAGGGCGCTTGGGAAGGGTGTGCCACTGTAGGGAGGTTGTGAGTCACTGGGATGCCTCCAGGGATGATCCCTTCCATGGCTGCAGGAAGTCCTCCTGGAGCCACGCCCACGATGCCTGGTGGGTATCTAGGGAGCACACAGAAATAGGGTCTGATTAAGTCCACGACGGAGAGTTGCCAAGTCACTGGATCTTTTCCTACTTCTGGTCTTTTTTTTTTTTAAAACAACTTTTATATCTTCCCTACCCCCCCAAAGCAAGGAGAAATACAGTTTTTTATATAAAACATTGACAACTGATTCTCAAAAACTAATCCAATCAGAACACCAATTTTGTGGCTTTTAAGACAAGCAAGAGGAAGATATTAGCCCAATACTAATTATGAACATGGATACTGTACTGTTTAGCATACTGCCAACACTAGAAAAAATTTTTCCCTTGGACCATGAAAATAGAATAGAAACTTTGAAAACAAAATGATCCTTTCTAATGTAATGAAAAATGTTTTTTAAAATAAATGTGAAAACTTAAAAATTAGTAATATAAAAAAGTAATGTGAAAACTTGAAAAATAGTTCATTACGGGTACAGTGTTTTTCTTGTCAGGCTTAAGTGTAATTTAAAGGTAAACAAATAGAAAAAGGAAATTTACTGACTTCTATTCATTTAATCCCAGGTTTTTCGAATTAAATTGTCAATTTTAACAATAAGAACATCAAGATTTTCATGAACCAACTGCAGGGTTTTACCAAGGGGTCTGCCCCTCACGTAGCATGTATGCTATGGCAAGGCATCGTGAGTTGCCTGCACACCATAGCTCCCAAGGTAAAGAGATGCATGACTTTATTATATATGCTGCTCCAGGCCCTTGCCTCAAAACTAGCATGAGTTAAATTCAACTCACATGGCAGTTAATGTGTTAAAAACCAGTTTGTACAAAGCAGACTCCGAAGTTTTCTGGTTGCTTTAAAGAGTTCATGAGGTGTACTGATATAATGATTTTCCAACAGATAGCATGAAGCACTACTAGAATTACAGATTGAACGCTTGTGGTCCCTCCTCCCCCAGTTCACAGTTCAAAGTGATGGTATGAGGAGGTGGGGCCTTTGGGAGGTGATCAGGCCAAGAGTGTCTAGTGCCCTTATAAAAGGGAGCCCAGTTAGCTCTCTGGCCCTCTTTCTGCCATGTGAGGATACAGGGAAAAATTTGCTAGCCTGCAGTCTGCCTTCACCAGAACCCGGCCATGCTGGCACCCTGACCGAGGACCTCCAGCCTCCAGAACTGTGAGAAATTTCTGCAGTTTATAAGCCATCCAATCCAGAGTACTTTGTTACAGCAGCTATAACTCGGTAAGTCAGTGGCTTCCTAGGCTGGCTAGTTTTATATTCCTGTGGCGTGCGACGGGACGGGGAAATGGCGTGCTGGCTGTTGGCTCAGTGCCTACCCTCCTCTAACTGCCCAGACATGGGTTCATTTTATATACGAGGTGCTGTGGCTGTGAGGACGGTCTGCACCAGGCACCTACAGAACACACGGGTCTTAGGCACGAATGGGGCTCGCTGTATGAACACACACAAGGCAGGTGCTTCAGGAGGAGTCTTATTTGCAAAGTGCTCAAACCCTTTATAATTGAGCCAGAGGGGACAGTGTCTTACTGCAGAAGCCACCCTGCTCCAGCCCCTGGCCCACCACACCATTAAAGCCACTCAGCAATCCCCAGGACCTCTCCAGAAGGACTCTGCCTCATGGGGTCCCCTCAGGTATGGCCCCTCAGGACACATTTAATACTCCAGGGGCCCTAAGAGCCGTGGACTATCTGAAGGACAAAGATGGGCCACCAACATCAGCAAGCAGGGGAGTCTGGTGCTGTAATGGTATTTGAAAATGGTTATGGGGCAAAAAAGGTGGGGCCCTATGGAATGTAAAGAAAGCCACATGGCTGGCAGCAGCAACATGGCTTCTTGAGTCACAGCCTTCAGCAGGCAAACCATACTTTACCAACCTATGGTTAAAGCAGGGGACATGCAACAGTGTTTGGAGATATTTTCAGTCGACGCAGTTGGAAGTGGCAGGTGCTACTGGCATTTAGTAGGTGGAAGCCAGCAACGCCTCTAAACATCCTACAGCGCAGACAGGGCCACCACAAGGGAAAGATCTGGCCTCAAATGTGACGGTTGCCAAGAGTGGGAAACCCTGGGTTAGAGTACGTAAAGAATTTCTTCTTGGATTCAAGGCTGCGGCTTTTCTCCTTTATGCATGAAGGATCAACTTATTTCCCGGATCTTAGCAGTAATGGTGTCAGGAGGGTGGAGGAGAACCACGGGAAATACCACAAATCAAAACCACTGCTCCCTTGAAGGGGTCCCGCGCCTTTACCCACCCCATGCTGCACCCCCTAACATCACCACCGTTTCACGTTTTTATTTTTACTGTGTGGACAAGGGTATTATCCTTAGCTGATTGTACCACTCAAGTGAGCAGACTACTTCCTTTAGACGATTCTAATTAGAAGATAAAATCACTAACCCTTTAAAGATACCAGCTATATCTTTTTTACTACTAGAAACCCTGTTTTTAAATGGCTTCAGAAAGAGGGGCAATTCTTAGCTCCCCATGGCCAGTCACGTTTGGGAACTATCCCTGACCCACTTCTAAAAACAGACATTTCTGGCTACCAGTTTTAGGAAGTCAGATTTGTTTCTTGGAAATAAGCCATTATAAGAACTGAAAGGACAGTACACATGAATCCCATTGACAAGGCTGATGTTCCTTTAGTGCCCAAGTGCCCTCATGGCCCCCTCTCCTCAGGGGAGCGAGGCTCAGCCTGAGACAACCAGGTTCCTCTTCTCACCTGTACGCGGCACCATTGAGCTCGGGATGGATCGCCTGCTGGTCTATTACTGACCAAGGGGCTGACGTGACAAAGAACTCCTTGTTCACACAGTTTCTTAAGCTTTCTGGGATGCGACCTGGAGTAAAACAAATCAATCATGCTTTTAAAGGTCACAATGACGTCACTATTATACTTAGCTGCTCCTGGGGGGAAATAACCTAAAATATTTGTATCGAGAGAAGCCTGCAGTCAAGCCTCTTTCTCTGTAGTAAGATTGCTGGCCCTTTTACTTGCACAGAAGGTGAGATGTCCAAGGCCCAAGCCTCCGAGCTCTTCAGCACTGGGCTTCTCCTGGAACCTCCTTCCTGCCCCCGCAGCGTATACAACACACAGTGGCCAGGACTGAAGGGGACTGGTTCCCTCTCAGAAATTCAGTTCAGGGCTTACGTAAGCAGGGCGCAACTAGTACGGAATTTAATTAGCTTGACCCTAGAAGCCAACTCTGCCTATACAGAGCCACCTGTAACCGGCAGGGACAGAGGCGGCTCCACCTTGGACCTGAGACTTCCCCCAAGCTGGCCGGGCTGGCGACAGACTCCGGGGCTCACCTGTGATTGCCCGGCGGATCTCCGTGGCAGCGGCCTCCCTCATCTCTAGTGACGCCTGCTCGCTGTACCAGGCCGTGTGCGGAGTGCAGATGAGGTTTGGTGCATCTTTCAGGGGACCCTGAGCAAAGCTGATGTAGAAAACCACAGTAACTGGAAGAGTCGAATACGTCTCCTACCCTGCCCAGCAAAGAGAACTCTTGGCCATGTAGAATAGCAGCTACGTACATATGACAGCGACATTTTAGATATTTTATAAAGGTTGGGAGTTTTTTGAATATAATTATCAAAACTCTTCCGTAAGAACAGTGTTGGGGATAATTGGATCAAACAGGAAAAAACCCAATTGTGCTGAGGCTCGCCCTCGTCTAACCAGAATGGACACTCTGGGGTAGAATTTAGGTGAAGCCTGTTTGTCTACAGACCCAAACCACCACCAGCATTTTTCTGCCTCTACTTTTTCTAATGACTTTTGGGGAACTTCTGGCCCTTTCGAAATTAGTGAGAACACAGAATAATCCTTGAAGAACAGAGAGACTCCCAATGTCGTCTCCAGAGCTTCCTTCCCGGGGACCTGTTTGGGTAACCGCCCGATTTCCAGGTGCAGGGGCAGGTGTGCAGTGGAGCCTGCAGGCCCCTGGCGAGGCGCGGGCCGGCCGCCCCTACCTGAAGGGCTCCGATTCGTGCACGTCGAGGGCCGCCCCTCGTATCCTGCCCTCCTTGAGGGCCTGGGCTAAGGCTTTCTCGTCCACCAGGCCTCCGCGGGCCGCGTTCACGAGGAACGCTCCTTGCCTCATCTGCGGAAGGGAAGAAAAGCCAGTGACGCGCGTGCTGCCACCTGCGAGGCTCCTGTGCCGAGGTTACAGCAGCCAGCTGCAAACCAGGGCCTCGCTGGTCCGGCTGCTTGACGCGAGTGCTGCCGTTTGAGGGAAGGGGGCGCCAGGCGTGGCGGGAGCTGGAACCCGGGGCTCAGTTTCTGCAGGTCCTGAGAGGACGAGAAGCCGGGAAGGTTGCAGCTGTGCCGGGTCACCTGGGAGGGAAGCCAGCTGGGTGCTCGGCCAGCTCCTGTCCCTCTGTCCGGCCTGGCTCAGCCCGTGGAAGGGTCTTGTCCCAGGGACTCTGATCCCCACTCACCAGCATGTCCACGAACTTCCCATCCCTTCTTGTGCCCATAGCAGCGGCTGCCACCTTTCAACAGAAGCTTCCAGGGTCTGAGGGCGTCAATTTTCCAATTACCTGCTTTATAGTAAAGTCATTGATGAGGTGGTGGTTATGTTCATTGAGATTGCAGTGCAGGGAGACGCAGTCACTCTGATACAGCAAGTCCTGCAGGGTGTAGACCCTCTGCACGCCCAGGGACCGCTCTATCCCATCCTGCAAGTAGGGGTCATAAAATATGACGCTGAATCCAAAGGCCTTGGCTCGAACAGCAACCGCCTGCCCCGTGCGACCTGTGCGGAAACAGAGTGTCCAGGTGAGTGCGTCCATGGCCCGGCCTGGCTCGGCTGCCCCCACTGCTGCTCAGGCGAGCCCGAGCTTGCCGTCCCCACGGGAACTGCCGCCCGTGAACCATGTGCCCCAGAGGGCACACAGCAGGCCGGCCCGGGATGGGGGCTCTGGCTGAGGCCGCAGTGCTTGCAGCTTGCACTGGCCACAGCAGGATGTCTTTAAAGCGTCCTTATTATCATGGACATTTAGAATCAAACGCAATTAGAATCTTCTAGTAAACCCCACGAGTCCTTCCCACAGCTGCAACGTCACCTATAGTTCAGTGGCTACCTATCTCCCCAACTTTTTGTTTGCACAACAGGCTTCTTAATACTAACTTCAATTACCGCTCTTGATATCTAACAGGGCGTTATCCTCCTGTTTGCTGTAGGGTTTGCTCGTACAAGGGGTGAAATAATTAAAACCGACCCCTGCAGTCCGGGCTGAGCACAGCGTGGCCACGTCAAATTGCTTTGTGGCTGGGAGGTGGGCACACGTCTGCCAGGCTTGGACCGGCCCGGCTGGTGGAGCTTCTCGGCCGTCTCCAGCATCCAGTTTGGGCCTCCAGCAAGTTATCACCCAAGTCACCTCCCAGGAGAAAAGCAGGTGCCCCAACACCCCAGTGGCTGTCACTTCACAAACCCATAGATCCCCTGAACGGCACCTGCTTCCCACAGCAGCTGGCAGCATTTTGTAAACAAAATGGCTCGAGTGATGCCTGACTGGGCTCTCCTGGGGAGATCACAGAATGACTGTTTATCCAAAGCCGTGGTTCCCCGGTCAGGCAGGGAGGAAGGGAAGGGAAGAGACGGACATCTCCAGCAGGAAGCCCGTCTTTGAGGGTGACTTGCTGGTAGATGTCTGGCCCTCCTGCTGAAGCTCCACCCAACCAAAGGCACAAGTCGGACAACTGCCATGGTCTAGAGGCCAAGGGTTAGTAAGTTGCCCGACCACGAGGGCCAGCTGCAGGGCCACCAGTGGGGGCATGCCCCGTCAGGTCACCCCTCTTCACTGTCACCCCATGGAACTCCAGCCACACCTTCGTGGAGGGGCGGCGGGGCAGGCAGTCCTGGCATGGGGCGTGGCTGGACTAATAGATCCCCCTGCCATACAGGAGGCACGGCACTGACGACCCCAGCATGTGCCTCCTTCGCCCCTTTCTGTGGCTTCTGTCACCTCCTGACACACTTTCATCTGGGAACACGCCCTCCAGCCTACCCCCGCAGATCCAAGGCCTCAGAGGCCTGTGGAAGAGCAGCCCAGAGCCAAGCCCCAGTTTCAATGCGACAGTGCTGGCCGGCAGGGCATTATTTCTCAGTGGTTTTGTCTTCCATAAATTCACAGATCCCAGTCTTTCCACTAGCGTCTACTTTAGCCATGAGATTTTCTGACTAAATACCCAATGACTCCACTCTGTTACTTGGGGCTTAATCAAAATCCAGTCCCTGCAAAAGAGAGGCCCTGGCCGGCACCACCAGTTCGCTGCCCGCCTGCCCCGATGGCCTGAGCTGGGCCCTGAGGCCAGGGAAGGCTGCCAGCCCCTAGCGGGGCGGCCGTGCAGCGCCCTGGCTGCCTGCACCCATGCCCCCTCCTGTCGTCTCACCGCTACAGTTCTGGAAGGCTATGCGGAGACTTGCAAAGGTAGCAGGGGAGACAATGACAATCTGCGTGTCAGCACCCAGGAAGTCTGAGGCAGTGGTCAGCTTACAGTCTCGAGAACACAGGGCGGGCGCAAGGGGGCTGGCCTCGATACCCCGAGAGTCCTCCGAAGTTGGGTGACAAGGGCCCAGCCAAAGACGACCCTCGTGGTAAGTTCCCGTGATGGCCGGAGCCAGCAGCCTGACACCGGCGTTGTCAGTGAGGTCCCCGCCACGCGGCGGTGCCACGCCCTGGACAGGGACCCTCCCCCCACCAAGATGCTGCAGAAGAACCATCTCCAGGAGCCCCAGGGAGCACAGTGGGGGGGCGCTGCAGTGGCCGCATCCCGTGTCTACCTTTCTTACAAAGTCACGGTGTGGCGCCCACTCTAGAAAAACTGAAGCATGATGGGGTCCTTCGAGAACAGGGTAGCTTCCCGAGTGTGGGAAGCACCCGGCACTTAAACTCAGCCCCGGTGTCAGGCTGGGCCAGCGCCCGGACCGTGCCCTGTGGGTGGTGGGCACCCCTGGAAGCGCCCAGCAGCCTCGTCCTCACGCAGGCCGCTCCCAGGTCCCCAGTGTGTGTGTGTGTGTGTGTCTGTGTGTGTGTGCGCGCGTGTGTGTGTGGCGCAGGGGGGGCCAGTGGGGCCAGTGGAGCAAAAAGCATCGTGGCTCTCAGGGACCTGGAAACCCGAGTCACGGCTTTGGGAGTCTTCTGGAAGCCCAGAGGGAACTACCTGCCCCACGCACGTGTTCTCACGCCCTGAGTCCCAAGAGCCGGTGTACTCCCCACCCACCATTTCCTATTTAAAGGTTGGGGAACTGAAGCATGGAAGGTCCAGGAATTCCCACAAGGTCACAGCCAGTAAGGGACCGGGTGAGGTTCAGTGGACTGGGGTGGGGCGGGCCGGGCCAGCTGCGTGTGGGGCCAGGCTGCTCCCGTCACGGCTCACCCGCTGTGGAGCCCGCCCCGCGCCTGCCGGAGACCCTCCCTGGGCCCCTGTCTCCACAGGCAGCAGCAGCTCCAGGAAGGCCTTTCCCGCCCGCTGTAGGGCGAGCTTCCCAAGCCGAGGCCTCGCTCTGCCACCCAGTGTGGCACTCAGAGGCCTCAGGAGCCCGGCCTCCTCCCATCTGCAAGGCCACCAGAACCCCACAGGGCACAGGCCCCTCCCGGCAGCCCAGCAGTGGGGACGCCATCCTGCTGCGCCCCCCAACAGCAACACGGACCCCTCCTTCCAGAACCAGCCCAGCTCTCACGTCTGGGCCAGTTCCCCGATCGGTCCTGACCCCAACCCCCCAGCGTGCAGCCTGGCAGCGTGCAGCCTGCCGTGCAAGTCTGCCTCCCCGACGGCCCCTGCGCCTGCCCCGCACGTACCGAAGCCGATGAGGCCCAGCGTCTCCCCGCGGATGCGGGCTGCTCCCGAGGCCACCTCGCGGATCTGCTCCACGCTCTGTACCCGCGTGCCCTCCCGCAGCGCCTGGTACAGCCACGTGTTCCGCCGGTACAGGTTGAGGATGTGGCAGATGGTGGAGTCGGCCGTCTCCTCCACGGCGGCGGACGGGATGTTGCACACGGCGATCCCTGCGGGGCGAGGGCGAGGCCCGGGTGAGAAAGCCCCACGGTTCTGGGGACGCCCAGGGCACTCCGGGGAGGCAGGGTTTGTCACCGCGTGGCCCCACAGAGGCCTTCTTCGGTGCCTCGGGGCACAGGGTGGGCGGCGGGCCCCCTGGCTGATGTGCAGGAGCCTTTGGTCCCCACGCCCGCCACAAAGGGCACCGTCACCCAGGACTCGCTCACGACCAGCTCCGCTCCCAGGCCGGATCCAGGTCCCACAGATGTCCCAGAGCAGCAGAAGCTGGTGGGGTCACGGACCCGCCCTGGCAGGGCTGCGGTGGGGCCCCAAGAGCACAGACTCCTCAAAGTAGACCCTGCCCAGGACCGAAGCACCCAGGGGCAGGGGCAAAGGAGAATGGCTTTTCTTTTTTAGGATATTAAGAGTTTAATGCAAAAAATCATGTTATCATCAAATTAAAAAAAAAACCCTCCATCCCCAAGAGGACGATGCAAGGGCTGGAGTGGGATGGAACTGAATGAAGCCTGGATCTGGCCACACAGTTACCCTGTGGTCCCCGATCGGCACCTGCTCTGGCTGGAAGGACAGCAGACAGGATGCTCCTGCTCATCCGAGGAGCTTTGGGGCTGAGGGCAGCCCAGGGGTGAGCCCCCCGGCTCCTATGTGTGTGGCCAGGGCTGGGGCGCAGCAGAGGGGCCTCTGCAGGAACCGGCCCCCTGGGTGGGCGCCGGGCACAGAAGCCAGCCTGGGGCCTGCCGGGGAAGAAGTTCTGAGGAGGGGCCCAGGTCAAATGGCTTTCTCTGAACCCCAGGTTTGGGACCCCTAGGAAGCAGCCCCCCTCAAAGGGACACGCAAAGAGAAGGTGGAGTCCTGCTGCCTTGCAGGACTAGGGGTGGGGACAGAAAGCACAGGGCAGTGGTGGCTTCAGTGCATGGGAAACAGGACCTACCGTGCAGAGGAGCCCCCTCTAGCGGGGGGCGGGAGAGTATGTGTCACAAGGGCTCCCTGAGGTCCTTGAGTGACCCCTCAGCAGGACACGCAGCTCAGAGAGGGCAAAGCCACCATGAGCAGGTCACAGTCTGCCCACCCCACCTGTCTGACAAGGGCTCCTCTGGGCCACAGACCCCTGCAAGGATCCAAGTGTTTGATCGTGACCTAGGCTGACCGTCTTTCCCACGAGTGGAGGGCAGTCATCCTGCAAACGGGGCCCAGTTCATCTGAAACTCAGCACGGAATTCTGGGTTAGATCACGTGCCATGTGACTATTAAGAGAGCCTGGTGGGACGTTTAGGAAAATCCCGGGCAGTCAGGACGATTCTCATTCCTCTGAGGGCCGAGGGAAGGTCTGGCAGCAGGACGGGACCCCAGGGAGTCTGGCACAGAGACAGCCGCTGGCCAGGGTGCCGCTGCCCTGGCTCGGCCACCGTGAGCCCCTGCAGGTCCCTGTGTGATAATGGCACCGGATGGGGGTGGGTGCACAGAGGGAGACTGAGGCAGGATCTGCTCGGTCTTCACAGCAGAACTTGGACATTTAGCTTCTTGGCTTTGGTGCCCATTTGGAGAACCAGCGTGCACAGACCGGGAGGGAGCGAGGTGGGCACGGGAGCTGTGGAGACTGCTGGGGACCCAGAACCTTCCTGCCCCAGTGGCAGTGGTGCCTTTGCCAGGAAACTCCACAGCCCTTGTCACCTGCTGAAGTGAAAACCTTTCTCCACCACTATAGCCTATATATACCTCCTATATATACCTCCAAATGCCGGTAAGGTTCTCACGCCCATGGGCAGAGACTGCCGGGAGCCTCTGTCCCCACAAACTGGCCCCAAATGGCTGAGCTGTCTTTCCTTCCCTCAATCCCTTTGGAAGTGCCCCTGGGCTGGAAACTGGATGGACAAGTTGAAACAGCTTGAGGGCACTCCTGGACTACTGGCTCTGCACTTGGCTCCTAGATCTTGAGGCCCCCAGCAACTTCCCTCCCACCCCTGCTTCCTGGTTCCTGGGCAGGACAGGAGACAGGAGAACAGAGCCTCGCCCCGGCTTTTTCTGGGGACTGCCAGCTCTGAGTCTTGTGGTCACAGAGTGTGTCTCCTCCCGGGACACCGAGGGCCCTGTCCTCCCAGGGCCCTTTGAAAGGGCCCAGCAGATGTCTCCCAAGCAGCTCCCTTATCAGATGGGACCAGGACCAATGAAAATGCCACCACTCACACCTCACAGCCCTTCTATGGTTTTCAAAGCTACAGTTCCTGGAGGGGAGGGAGAGGTGGCTCACGCTTGTAATCCCAGCACCTTGGAAGGTCAAGGAGAAGGTGTTTGCTTGAGGCTAAGAGTTGAGTCCAGCCTGGGCAACATAGCAAGACCCCATCTCTAAAAAGAAAAAAAAAATTAGCTAAGTGCGGCAGCACATGCCTGTAGTCCCAGCCACTAGGGAGGCTGAACGAGGAGGATCGCTTGAGCCCAGGAGTTCAGGGCTGCAGTGAGCCTGGGCAAAAGAGTGAGACCTTATCTTAAAAAACAAAACCTCCAAAAAACCCTGCATTTCTCAGCCCCAGCTGTCTTCTGTGGGACTCAGGACTCTGGGCATGCAACCTCCCACCTGCCTCTTCTCACCAGCCCCAGGAGTTTGAGGGCCTCGTTTCCTTCTGGCCCCTGCAGTCTGCCTGGGGCTCTTCTGCAACTGGAGAAATATAGTTTCACCCCTAGGACCTGCCGCCCCCCCCTCCCCCCCAAGCGGCTGACACCTGCTGAGGGCTGAGGGGCACACTCGGGGGAGGCGGGCAGGTGCCTGGAGGAAACGGCTTTGAGAACCCCTGGGCACATGCAATCAAGTTCTCCGCTGCTGTTCAAACTTGGGATTTCAGCTCTACTAAGAGCACAAAGGACATTTGTTTTCAAACAAAAATATCCTTGTTGGTGCCAGGGAAAAATGGAAAATTTCAGTTTATATTAAACCCACTTCTGAGGACTCACATCCCCCCGAGTTTCTTTGCTGCAACAAAGAGGTGCTCAGAGTGACACTGGGGTTGGGCACAGTGGAGGGTGAAGCTGCCACTGCCCCAGGCCCCGTGAGGAGCCTGGAATCCTTTCGACTCTTTCTCCTGAGATGCTTCCGTGAGCGCGTGGACAGATGACCGAGACGTGTCTTCCCCTCTGGGATTTGCCTGTGGGGCGGCCCCACCCAGGTGGCCAGGTGCCCAGGGCCACCGACAGGCCGGCTGCCCGCCCTGCTCACTCCCCAGACTCACCTGCACCCGAGGGACTAACAACTGCAAGAAGCCCCCTGCCCTCCACGCAGAGCCCCAGGCTGGAACCGTGGAGAGAAAGCCAGAGCCCATTGGGGTCGCCTGGGCTGAGAACGTGGCAGGCGGAGTCTGCGGGCAGAACTGTCGGATGTCTGCAGTTTCAGGCTCAGACCTGGGCTTTGGCTGTGCGTGGGTCACACGGCCCAGCCTGTCGCTGGAGCACCGGGGCCCACTGGGGGAAACCCCAGGAAGGGCCATGCCAAGGCCCGCTGCTGCTCTACCCACTGGGCCTGGGTGCCTGGTCATTCTAAGGGATCCTGGGAAGCCTTGTGGGTTTGGGGAGCCTCAGTGCTCACGAGGCGGAGTACCGCCCCAGGCCAATGTGCAGGGTGGCTCAAACACAAAGCAAGTACAGTGACCTTCCTGGGCCTCCCCCAAGGTCCTAGATGCCAGGCTCCTTGTGCCTCTTGCAAACAGTACTCACGAGCCCACACCAGGTGGTGGGACAGGGAGGCCACCGCATCACGGCCACCTTCACTCCCCCACTTGTGGGTTCTCATCTGTTTCTTTTGAAACCTCTGGAATCAACATGGCTGGGCACCTGCTTTGGCCGGAACCGGGCCGGGTTCTGCTGGGGCCTCTCTGCCCAAGGACGAGGCCCAGGTTCGTGTGCGGACGGGAGCCCTTGGGAGGGGGCCCTCCCAGGACTGGAGGAAACCCCAGAGCTACGCACCCGGCCGGGGCATGTGGCAGGTGGAGGCAGGGCTGACAGAGTCCTCCTCAGACCCCTCTGCAGCAGCCACCTGTCTGCAGCCAGACGTGGCTATAGCTCCGTGGTGCCCGCTCTGGCTCCTTCCCTCCCAAGCCCGCCTGGCAGGGCCCAGCGTGGGCCACACACTCACCGAGCTCGCCCGCAGCCTTGATGTCCACGTTGTCGTAGCCGCTGCCTATCCGCACGATCACCCTCAGGGCCTTGAACTTCTCCAGGTCCTCCCTGGTGAGGGTGATGGTGTGGTACATCATGGCGCCCACGGCCTCGTTTAACACCTGCGTCGGGCAGCAGAGCACAGGGTCAGTGCCCCCTCCGCACGGCCCATGGCGCCACCCAGGGTCACCCTGGGACCTGGAGCACAGGATTCCGGTGGGAAAACGACAAGCTGGAGATGCGGCCGTTTTGGGGGCCAGCTGGTGACTCCGGAGACCTGACTGGGGTAGGGGGTGGCCTAACGAGGGACCCCTACCCTCAAGGACAGAGTGCCCCCACTGGGCAGGGCGGGCCCACCTTCTCGTGGATCTCCTGAGTGGACTGGGCGTCGCAGAAGGCCACGGTGGCCAGGTCCTTCAGGATCGGCATCTCCACGGTGCAGTCGCGGCCGTCCAGCAGTGCCACCAGGGGGCGGGGGTGCAGGGGGCCGTTCATGATCTGGGGGCGGATACCTGTGCAGAGGGAGGGAGGGAGGGAGGGCACGGTGGGCAGGCGGCCTGCCACCCACCCTGGGGAGGGCCAGCACCTTGGTCATCGCTGCCACAGGCAGGAGGCAGCAGAGCAGGGAGGAGCCCGGCCTCTGCCCGCAGCGGCTCCAGCGGGGCCACCGTGAGGGGCCCCCACCTGCCTAGTGCCGCCCCCTCTCCTGCCACCAGGCCACAGACCGTCGGCCACCAAGGCCAGAGTGGGCTGGCCCGCCCAGCACAGCACCGGGGCTCCTTGCTGTTCCACCGGCCTGCTCCAGCGCCAGCTGCTCCTCAAAACACACAGGACAGGGGATCAGGAACTTCCTGCAGAACCTGCAGCAGACACCCGCACGCTCCCCGCCCCGCCCTGCGCCAGGAGAGGTATGGAGGCCAGTCTGGGGCAGAGAAGGCGAGCATGAGGCTGGCGGCCTGCGGGCCCAGGACACCGATTGTCTCAGAGGACTGCAGAGCCAGTGGCTGCCCAGACCAGTCCGAGCCACCTCGTTAGTTCTGACAGATGTCCTGGTGCTGTCCACAAGGTGAAAGGAGAGCAGCGGGGCCCCATGCTGCGGGTGGGGCAGGGAGGACCCCAGAAAGGGCCCACTGGGGCCCTCCTTGGACGGCACAGAATCTCCAGCGATTCTAATTGGACCAACACGGCAGCTTCTAGATGTTCAGCAGGGTGGGCAGTTGTGACGCCTTCACCTGCCCTCTGCCACACGGCCACGCCCCGCGGGCACCCGCCCCGTCAAGCCCGCCTGCAGCCCAGGAGGAGCCGTTCCTCCCGCAAAGCCGGAAGGGCCTGACAGTCTCAGAGTCAGAGAAGCAGCATTTTCTCCAACAAACACCGTCAAATCCATCACTGGGGCAGTCTCGACCATCTGCAAGCGGCCCCTCCTGACCACGTTCTCGGGCACCAAATCATCACGACCTCGCCATGACCCACACCTCGGACCACCACCCGGCTGCAGAGGGGACCACACCACCGGGGAGCCAGGCAGGGGCGACGTCAGCTTTCTCGTCAAATCACAAATCTTTGGCAGCAGGTTAAAAATCAAAACCAGACAGCTTCTGGGGCAGTTTGAGCTTTCAGATGTCCAGATACCCTCTGGCGGCGGCCTGAGCCCCTCCCCCGTGCCTGCGAGACTGTTCCGGCCAGCGCAGCAGCCCCGGCTGCAGGTGCCCCTGCCCCTGCTCTGCGGGCGACAGCCCTGGCCACCTGTCTCCCTCCTCTCAGAGCCGGCTTGTCCTCTCCTCTGACGGCCACTGGCCGGGAAGGTGGGAGGTTCCCAGGGCCGGGACCCCTGCGCAGGCCAAATTCAGGTCTGTGGCCGCCACCTTCAGCCCCCAAAACTTAAAGGGCTCTTGGCAGTCCCTGAAGTGGCCACCTGGTGGGGCCAGCCGGGGCCGCAGACACACGGGGGCCTCATCCCGTGAGCCCCAGGCCGGGGTGAGCAGCAGGATTGTGCCCACACCAGGACAGCGTGCGCACTCGCTGCGGGGGGACGGCCCAGGAGCCCACCCTGCTGCACCGCGGATGCCGCTCCCACCCACAGCTGCCCAGGCTCGGGACAGCTGGCTCTTTCAACAGAGCACAGACGAGGCTTTTGTCCCGGCCTCAGGACAGGCTGGGGGAGCTGGGGGCGTGGACCCCTCGGTGGGCCCAGAGCTGTGCCGGACTCTGTTCCAGCCCAGGCGGGGACTGGAAGGAGCCACGGTCCCTCCCTGCCTGTGACAGCGGCCGAGGCCCCGATGCTCAGACCCAACAGCCATAGCAGGTCCCCAGCTGCTCCGGCAGCTCCCCCGGGACCCAGATCCCCAAAGCAGGGTGACCAAGTGAGCCCAAACCCCACCAGCGGGCGAGGGGGTGCGGGGCTGCTGTGTGCTGGAGGCTGGCCGGCCCTCTGCTCACGCTCCTCTTGGCCTAGCCAGCAGCTCGTTCCCACGAGGCGGGCACTGTCGGCCTGGGAGAGGGTCCCCAAGGGCCAAGGGTGACGCCTTCAGGCAGGCCCCGCGGAGAGTCCCCTCCACCTGACCCTGCAGAGAGGCAAGGGAGGAAGCAGAGATTGTGTATGGGAAGCTGTGTACCCCTCAATTCACCCTCAAGATATGCTACAGCACCTGCCATCCCTGTCAACAGATGAGGAAACTGAGGCACAGAGCTGCCTCCTTGGCTCTTCCTTCCTTTATGCTGAGGAAACAGTGAAGCAGCCAAACCTCAACAGACTCCTCCGACACCCTCCCTGGGTCGGGGGACTGGCTGGCAGCTCTGGAGGCATGGGCCAGACTCGCAGACGGAGGAACACCCGGACTTGACTTTCAGGGGTGCAGGGAGGACGGCTATAAACAGAGAGCATAATCATGGTAAGAAAATTACAAAGGAACCGCTCAGGAAAAGGACACTGGACACAAGGTGGGAATCTTAGAGCCACCAGGTGTATCTGGAGAGGCCACGAGGCCATCGTCACAAGATGTCCATACACAGCCCCCGTGCGTGGATCCGTTACCCGGGTAACAGCCTCCAGGTTGCCTGGCGATTGGCTCCCTCCCCGACTTAGGCTGCTTTTCTGTCCAGGGAAACTAACCCCAGCCCTTGCCCTCCCCCTTTGGGCTGGGCACGCAGAATGCAGCTAGGGCCGGTCCAAGACACCCGGCTACCTAGCCACGCGGCCTGTGGCTCCTCCTGGCTGCAAGTCCTTTATGCCGAGGCAGGGAAGGGCCCTCTCGTGCTGCCAGGAGGTCCACGTGCTGGGCAAGGAAGCTGTGTGGAGATGGCTGGGTGGGGGCGAGATTCTCGGGCGTCCCGCATTGAGGTATGAACCCAGCGTGGGGCCACAGGGGTCACCAGCACTGAGGATGGGGGAAAGCTTAGCTGGAACACTGCCAAGGTTTGCTTCTAGAAAGAAGGGACCATCTTACATTACATTTTTAATATATTAGGATGTAATACACTAGGATGTGACACATTAGGATATAATATACTAGGCTGTAATAAACTATGAATGTAATACATTAGGATGTAATGTACTAGGCTGTAATACATTAGGATGTAGTATACTAGGATGTACCACATTAAGATGTAGTATACTAGGATGTACCACATTAAGATGTAGTATACTAGGATGTACCACATTAAGATGTAGTATACTAGGATGTACCACATTAGGATGTAATATCCTAGGATGTAATACACTAGGATGTAATGTACTAGGATGTAATACACTCGGATCTAGTACACTGGGATATAATATACTAGGATGTAATACACTATGAAGTAACATATTAGGATATAGTATACTAGGATGTAATACATTATGATGCCACATCACAGAATAAGACTCATATACATTAAGATGGACCATGACCCCTTAAGGGACCATGGGAAACGCTATGAACTCAGGGCTGGCCCCCAGGCCTGGGCATATGGGGGGTAGGGGTGTGTGTTGGTCTCTGTCCTCTATAGTCGGGAATTTCCGAGAAGAAAGCTCCCAAGGTACAATGTTCAAAAGAAGTGGGGTTGATGATAAAAAGCTCTGGCTCCCAAGCACTGGACACTGCTAAAGGCTTTTCTGCGCACACAAACCCCAAGACTGACAAGACCTCCACTATGCTGCTGCCATTCCCACCCCGAGGTCCAGGAGTTGGAGCCTAAGGTGGCCGCATATGACAGCGTGCCACCTTGAGAGCTCCCCGCCGTCCCCACCCGCCTCACTGACACGGGTCCTCGAGTCCTCTGCTCGCCACCCATTATCCCTCCTCTCTACGTCCCCCCACCACGAACTCGCCCCGTCTGCTTCAGGACAAGTGCGTGGCAGCTGGCCATGCCATGGCCACGCCGTCAGCGCCTCACTGCTGAAAGCCCGCCTGGCATTAGCTCTGCCGGCTCCCCTGGCTTCCACTGGGGCTGGTGTTGGGTCCGCCCTCCACGAGGGGGCCACGCACCGCACCTGCTCAAGGCCAGGGCCAACGTCCAGCCTGGGCCTGGTACTGCTCAGAGTTGCAGCTGCAATAAATAACTGTGAAATTAGAGACCTTCCGTGGGAAACTAAGACGACAGGAGGCCCCCACGCTGGGGTTTGTTAGCAGTAACCAGTCGTCTTGGAACACCGCGTCCGGGGCCTCACGGATCCACGCACCTCCAGGGAGGACGGAGCTTTCTGGACACCCAGCTTTGATGCGATGCCACCAGCGCTGGAAAACAGCACCGGATGCAATCTGGGGAGCTGCTCAGGACCCCACAGGGCAAACGGGACGCACTGCCCTTAGCAGAGTCACCGAGAAGGAACCAGATCGATCCTGCTGCATAGAGCTGCCCTGCAGGGTATCTGAGACCCACTGTCCACTCCTCCTGGACACTGTGAGTGAAGTTGACATTCTCCCAACAGAACTAGCCATTGAAAAAAAAAAAGATCTGAATTTGTTTCTGTTGCCTGCAGCTCAAGAACCAAACTGCCCCTTAGGCAGGATTTTGTTGCTTTCAGGACTTCAGGATTCACCCCAAAGCAAAGCAGCCGCAACGATCTCTTCTGACACAGTAGGCAAGGCTGGCTCTGGCCTCTTTTTACAATTGGCTAGATTTTATGAAAGTATCCAGACACCGCAGCAGCCTCCAGATACCAGTGCTTGGGTGGGTCAGGAGCTCGGGGTGACAGTCACATGTACAGACAGCTCCTCTGGTCACCCCATTCCTGACAGAAGCTGGCTGCATACCCCAGGAAGAGAGAGCCCACAGCTGGTGCTCTTGGGTTGGGACCACCCCGGGAGGAAGCACTCACTGCTGTGGACACACTGGCCTTGCAGGTGAGACAGGGGAGCTCTGTGGGCTGCAGGCAGTTGCTGGGATTCTCCAGGTGATGTCACTAGTTGTCCCGAGGAGATAGACACCCCAACCCTAGAGGTCAGGGTGGAGCAAGAGGGGCCCATCAGGCCTGCACCTGAGGCCCCTCCAGCCTGGACGCCTCTCCCACCTCCGAGACAGCCCCGCT